ACTTTATTAGATGTTCGCACGGCTACCACCGCTCAACCCACCACTGGTAACATAGCTGACGCTCATGAAGCTTCATGACACAACTCCTAGAAGCATCCCACAAGTTATCGACTGAGAGAAAATAGGTAATAAAAATTAGTGCCTGGCAATATGAATATATTGTGGTGTGATATGGTGTTCCTGCGCCCGACGCACTACAGTTGCACGCAATTTAAAGTTGGGAATTGTGACAAAAATATGAATAAGTACCTACTTCCGCGCGGTTTCACACGCTCTGCACGGCTCCTATTGGTCGTAGCGTGATGTTTTATAGCCTATAGCCATCCTCGATAAATGCACTATCCAACACAAAAAGAATTATTCAAATCAGACTTGTAGTTACGGAGATTAGCGCGTTCAAACAAACAAACAAACAAACAAACTCTTCCGCTTTATATAATAGTATAAGATATAAGATTTGAATAAAAAAAACAAAGTAAAATGTTTGACTTCAGCTCCTTTCAACGCTCATAACTCAATCCAGACAGATTTCCATACATGAGCCCTATGGGCTCACTTTCATATACATATATGGGGACAATTTCGTTTGTAATGTCATTCTAGACAATATTTTCCATAAATCATCGACTGACGCTACAAAAAAAAAGGCACCAAATTTAGTCAATGCTTAAATGAGAACCGATAGCAAACCATGGGCCCCTAGACAGAATTTGCTACAGGCCCCGCGTTGGCTTAATCCGGCACTGGACTTGGTAAGGTTTAGTTCAATGGAAATAGCCCATTTGTCATCGAAATCCTGACACAGTTAAAAAATGATATAACAAAAGCACCCAGGCTTCTACTTAAGTCTGTAATAATTACGTAAAATAAACAATCAGCAAGAAGGCCAAGGCCGGTTTTAGATTTCCATTATTCTGAAATGGGTAGCTACGTCAAGGGCTTAGTTTTAACAGTGTTGATTCAAGATGGCCGCTGCTTTACTCAATTTTGGCGGGAGATTCTTACAATAACCTAGTCGGCACGTTCCACGGTATTAAAGGATGAAGAAAATATAGAACTGGGTTGAAAGTTTAAAACTACGTACCTAAATTATGTCCACTAATAAATATTGTGCTAGTAATCAATACATAGTATAAAACAAAGTCGCTTTCGCTGTATGTCCGTATGTATGCTTAGATCTTAAAAACTACGCAACGGATTTTGATGCGGTTTTTTTTAATAGATAGAGTGATTCTTAAGCAAGGTTTGTATGTATAATACATGCATATTGCACCCGTGCGAAGCCGGGGCGGGTCACTAGTTTTAATATAAAACTCTTAATTGGTGTTCAAATATTTTGGTGAAAGAGCTTTAAGCATTCTAAATTATTTTGTCAAATTACAAGGTTTATAAATAGAATTTAGTAAATACTAAATACCCGCCTTCGCACAGCTTAAATCGAGCTAACAGAGCGCCCATTTAGTAATTGGACTAGGACTTAAGTAATCTTATTTGTAACAAACAATCTCCACTAATGGAGTTTGGAATTATTTTAGGACTTGCTTCTAAAATAAAATAAGTATCTAAGAGCCGATTTCTCAATCATCAGTTAATTCGAATAAATTGACAGTTGACAGTTTTTAGTAAGGAACAATTGTCAAATATTGAAAGTTATTCCGCAGTTAAAATTTATCTGAGCATTAAAAAATTGGTCCTTATGTATAAGATCGATATAACATGTTTGTAACGTTTCAATAATTCCGTAGTATTCGGTCACAATTGGAATATTTTGTGAGAACAGAAGTGATATTTGGAGTGGCCAAACGCAGGCTAAGCCTTCGAGGTTGTCGCGGAGAACCTAACGGGTAACCGGGGCTCCGGCTCGACGTGCAGGAGAAGGAACGGGATGGTTTTTAGTCAGTAAGAGTCTGACATTTTCCCCTCTTAAAAAAAAACCTTCGAGGTTTTTTTACAAGTAGGTACATATTTCATATCAAACTTGCCGCGTGGTTGTAGATATTATTACATTTCACTTAGGATTACTGTCCACGTTGCGTCATTTGACGTGGACAGTACCTAGGCGTTAATCCACAATATTTTATACTAGCTATTGCCCGCGGTTTCGCCCGCGTTCCCATGGGATAAAAAGTACCCTATGTATTATAACAGACCATAATCTATCCTTGTTTAAAATTTCATCCCGATCCCTTCAGCCGTTTTGACGTGAAGGAGTAACAGGCAGACACATACGCACATACATCATCACAAACGTTCGAAACGATTAGTAAGATCAATGTGAATCATGACTGCGTAATAGTTACTGTAATTCGAAGATAACTTAAAATGCAATTAAGCAAGGCACGGGACAACATTAATTTGTTTGTGTTAGGTTTAAGGCGCCGTAATTAGTTGAGTCATTTTAAAAATAACTTCGTCGATCGGTAATGTGCTATTTAAAGATACAGACACCTTTAACACCATGGATCTGTACAGTGCCGGATTAAGCCAACGCGGGGCCTGTAGCAAATTCTGTCTAGGGGCCCATGGTTTGCTATCGGTTCTCATTTAAGCATTGACTAAATTTGGTGCCTTTTTTTTTGTAGCGTCAGTCGATGATTTATGGAAAATATTGTCTAGAATGACATTACAAACGAAATTGTCCCCATATATGTATATGAAAGTGAGCCCATAGGGCTCATGTATGGAAATCTGTCTGGATTGAGTTATGAGCGTTGAAAGGAGCTGAAGTCAAACATTTTACTTTGTTTTTTTTATTCAAATCTTATAACTTATACTATTATATAAAGCGGAAGAGTTTGTTTGTTTGTTTGTTTGTTTGAACGCGCTAATCTCCGTAACTACAAGTCTGATTTGAATAATTCTTTTTGTGTTGGATAGTGCATTTATCGAGGATGGCTATAGGCTATAAAACATCACGCTACGACCAATAGGAGCCGAGCAGAGCGTGTAAAACCGCGCGGAAGTAGCTACTTATTCATATTTTTGTCACAATTCCCAACTTTAAATTGCGTGCAACTGTAGTGCGTCGGGCGCAGGAACACCATATCACACCACAATATATTCATATTGCCAGGCACTAATTTTTATTACCTATTTTCTCTCAGTCGATAACTTGTGGGATGCTTCTAGGAGTTGTGTCATGAAGCTTCATGAGCGTCAGCTATGTTACCAGTGGTGGGTTGAGCGGTGGTAGCCGTGCGAACATCTAATAAAGTATATTTTGTTTTGCCATTGACTCCTGGTGGGAGACTCATCTACTTTATAGTTCGCATAATCTTTTGTAGAAAGGAAACCGTCGACTTTGTAAAGTGATATACGTCAGATGAGCGTATATTTTTTTTCATATAACGTGATCAGTCGAAATATAATTCATCACTTTGTGACTGAATGACGATATCTTTGTACAGAATCTTATGCTAGCTGTAGATTAGAGTATTAACTGTAGTTAAATTAGTGACTAATCGGGAGTAGGTAGGGAGAAGTAGACAGAAAAAAAAAATTCGTTTTCGACGATTGCCACTACTCAATCCGCTACCGACGCCGCTGCTAATAATCATAGAATTTCGTGATAGGGCTCAGTAAAGTATTTTGCGGGTTTTCGACTGAGAGGATATTAAAACTAACATGTAAATCTGTCATAGGCCATAAACCGTATACATAGGTATAAAGTGAACACACTAGCCAAGCAATCGAAATGTTTTTTTTTACTTGGGCAGTGGCCAGTTAATGGTTGACTTTGTTATGATTCCGTGGCCTTATTAAAAGAAGTCCACTATAAGCTTTACTATATTCCTTGAAATCGTTTATAAACATTTATTACAAAATATTTCTGACAAGTAAATGAAGAAATATGCGTTGTGTACGGTCACCATCAACAAAATAACAGGAATAATATAGCACTATTTTCACATCTTTGAACTGATTTAACTCGGTTTGGACTGTGTTTTTGATATAAGACCCCATATATTTTTTTGCACATTGCACATTTATACACATTCAATAAACGGCCGCGAAAAAATAAAAAGGCACCACGCTCCATACAAATTTGGTCATTGTCATTTAGGGTGTTATTACATAAAACAAAACTGTTACAAATAAACTTTTCTGGATTTGTTATGGGCAAATTTAGCGATTACACTTTCAATACCGACTTCTTTAATACCTTGAACGCCATGGGGACAAGGTATGGGCCACGCTAGCGGAGGATTTACCTTCAACAGTTTTCTGTCGGCAGTCAAAGCCTTAAGCAAGTCATGCTCTATATTCAACATTGTGAGACGATTAAGACGTTCTTGGCCCGTAGTGTTTTTTCCTTAATAAATTCATTTTTGATTCGTATAAATCGGGCTCGGTTCGCCCGCCAATGGTACCAACATTTTCTTCATAAGTCTTGCTGTTGAAGGGGTGTAATTACGAAATACCTATTTGAGCGCGGGGCCCCCCAATCCGCGGGGCCCGTAGCATTTGCTACTCTTGCTACGTGGCTAATCCGGCACTGGATCTGTATGAAATGGAGTGACAAAAATTGATGATAATAAGTGTATGAATTATCTATTATTTCAGCAATTTTTCCTATGAGATATGCACACGAATTTCAGTTAAATAATGATAATATGTTCAATTGTAACTTAGATATACAGATATGCCTATAATTAGTGAAAAGTGGGTGATGCTTTCCAACTGTCCACATCTGTGTATCCCTTCGGGGATTGAAAGAGCCATTGGTCTCTTTTTCTTATTTCCCGTGTCCCCCCATATCTATTCAACACCTTCAATAAATAATGATACCTTCATTTCTGTATACTCTGTGACAGTAGGACACTTCATTATGATGGCTCAAGTCTAATGAGGTCCTCGCTTAACACTATCAAGTATCGTCTGTCAGTGATACGGTGATACCATGAATAATTGAGTCTATCGTGACTATACCTGCATGCTCGAGACCTGATTCCCTATTAAATAAGCTAGTTTTCAACATTTATTTATCGTAACACGGTGGGTACGGGAGATATTTCATGCTCCTAAAATCAGTATTTTAGTGCCCAGTAGTACTAAGTAGTTTAGTAAGCAATCACCTTATAGCCCCCTTTTTTGCTACTCTATAGGCAGTTGTGGGCACGCGTCTTGCGGCGCCCCTCTGTAACCTAGCGCCGTAGGTAGGCACTTGCCTAGAGTGCCTTAGCGATAACTATTACGTACTGTCCCCATCCCAACAAAAATAATTCTAACTAATAAATATTACAAACATTCAAACGTAATTTACTTTTACATACAAACTAAAATATAATGAAACTACAAATACATAAATGAACGATTTTATTACAAAGAAAAAATACAATGAAAAAATAAAAATTCTATAAAAATATACAATCATGTAAAAGGGATTACAAAATTCGAATAAACATTACCTACTTGCGTCCTTTGCCAATAAATAAAATAAAAAAAAACCAAAAAGGCGCCATTAACCACAGATACAAAATAATAAAAATGGAGGTTAAAAGAAACTTTTTACGTATATAACAACGACGATTGATATTAGGATTATACTACTAACAATACCACTTTTTACGAGGTCTGCAAGCTGACATTTGGCGGTGCAGCATAGTCCTTGGGACGGGTGGCACATGGCTGATGGGGCTACTGAACATCCATCTTTGTGTAGCGTCCTGGCAAATGATTTAACTTGTAAAGTTGGAGGTAAGAGGTGCATATAGGGAACAACTGTTCAATTTATCTAGAAATGGTTCCGTGAATAATATTTTGGTCGGTACTAATTCGGTGAAAGGAAATAAATAGTTACCCTTCTTCGAAGACGAGAGCACCACCACCTCGTGGTGTACAACAAGGGTCTTTATGAATGCAATGAGACGGCAGACCACAGTCACAGGATTCACCTTCTTCTACTATTCCTGGATAAACATTACACGTAAAAATATTAATTCTTTATTGGCCTTAGGAGCATTTGTCGTTATCAGCAGAAATAAACAACAAAGTATCAAAAAATTCACCCATCGTTATTGTGAACAGCTCTTAGCATTTAATAATGAGTATCTACTCTACTATCGTTCTATGCTTTAACTTATACATCACTGTCCCTTGCACAACCATCAAAGCTATATTCACGCACGCAAAAACCTGTCTTACCATTCCCACAATAAGGTCGATCCTCTTCCATCAAACAATAGCTCATGCTGCTTAGCGTGGCGGCGATCAATCGTTTGCTGCACAACGAGAACTCGAAGTTTAAGCCATTGACTACAGTCGAGGACTGGGAGCCCATGAGGTATCCTCGACACTCAGGGTTGGGGAAATTATCGTCGTGGTGGGCGCCAAAACTGTGACCTGGGATATAAAACGTGATAAATGTAAATAAACCTATGATCGTAAATTCAAAAATACTAATTCTAAGTATTCTATATGATGGGAACTGTACAATATTTCGAGCGTAATTTATTGCTTTGATCTTATGGTTCGTTGGTTAGTCCTAGTTCCTACGGCCAAGTTAGTTTTGCTCGTGTATTTGATTAACAATGCCAACTTAAGGCATATGTAGGTACTAGTTTAAAAGAAAACAATAAAAATACAACAATAGCCTAAAACATAAACACACGTACCCATCTCGTGAGCAAGTGTGAGAGCTGCGATTCTCTCAGGAACCCTACTCAATGCCTCTGTAGTGGCGTGTGCTATAGCTAGCGTGTTGAAGGAGCGCCCGTATGCGCGCCGGTCACAAAGCCCACCAGCTGCTCCTCCCATACCTCCCCCAAGGGAAGTAAAACTGTAAAACAAGACGTGATTTGCAACTTTATCCATTTGCAATATAGTGGTTTTATTGGAATCGCGGTTCGCATGCTCCGCAGAGCCATTAGACCACCACAAATGAAGTTGAGTAGAGCTGATGCCCGGTCGGGGCTGCGGACGATCTAGCGAGTTACTGGGGCTCTGGTTCGAAGTAAGAGAAGTAACGCGGAAGGAAGGAAGGAAGGAGGAAGGTGGTTTTTAGTCAATAAAAGTCTGACACTTTCTCGTCTCATCCTAGACAGCAAGTCATTTGATGATTTCCCCTAGTCTTAAGTATTTAATAATGTATTCTGTTACCTGAGACCCAGAGTTCTATTATGAAAAGCATGTCCAGAAAATGCCACACCAAGACATACTTCAGACAGTCGTCGGAGTCTGGCAAAACGCATGAGATAGGCTCGTCCGTCTATCGCTTTGTCTTTTAGTAGATCTCCAAATACTCGTGTGTTCGTGTCATTTGAAGTCAGCACTAATATGTACTTCACTGAAAAACCTGGACAAAGAAATACATAAATGCTTATTGTCATTGTTAAAACTGTAGATACTAAAAGTTAAAATGACCTTTAGACATAGGACCCTACTCATTGCCGCACACATATGCTTTTAAATATTATAATAATTATCATAAGTACTTTCAGTCTGTGAGAAATTACCCAGATTGATGATCTATTTACGCCTTTACTATTTCATTGCTGCATAAATAAGCTGAATATAAATTTTTACTTTCTAGACACTTTACCAATATTATCAGGAATTCCATCTTCGTTGAAATCAGCGTTTCGGAATATAATATCAGCTTGTGCGACTGCATGCATCATTCTACGCACTACATGATTCAAACTTGAGTTGGCATCCTTCTCGAAGAACTCTTTGTCAGCCAGGAGCAGAAGGTCACAGATCCTTGCTCGAGCAACACCTGGCACCTTTTTCCGCTCTTCTATTCGGTACGGAAAGAACGGAACGCGTTCTAGAATGTTATACTGAAAGAGAAGATAGCAATTAAGCCATTTGGGCGCTGCGTTAGTGAAGCGTATGAGTGATAGACAAGGGACAGCTGAAACTACATAGAAGACTAACCTTCGTGTCTTATATTACTATTGGGAGTAAGAGAAGATATTTTTTCCTAAATTCTTACAAAAATGAGATAAATGCTACTATTAGAAACACATCCATCTTCAAACTGTCCTAGGTACCTGATCATACCGTTGATTTTACCTTCAATAAAGCGCAACTCATGGTAGTATAAATCTAACATATACGGACACACTAGTATGCAATTGCTTATGTAATATGTATACGATTGTACGATGTATACGAAGCAATTGTGTCCAGTCGATGAAATTATATCTAAGAGTTAACACGTTCCTTAGTTATATACCACTTCTGCTCAGTATTCAGAGAGATCAATCAGCCAATCACTATAGTAAGTCATCATCTTCACCTGATCACCTGTGCATGATCGCGTCGGTACCGCGGCGCCGCCATATTGTCGTTTTCGAAGGCGCCAAAGAATTTGGTCGGGTCATCGTGGCCGTAAGGATCCGCATGAAGAGTACGATTACCTAGTAAAAACATAATGAAGTTGATGTTACGTATTATTTATTTATTACTGAGTTGAAGAGAAAACTTCTTTATGCTAATGTCCCGTATCGTATCCCGTACCGTCAAGTTAAAAATAATAAACGTTAAAATTGTTCCTTGTCTTAAAATTTTAGGATCCACTTCCTTCTATTAATAACATAACATCACGCCTTTTTATCCCCGAAGGGGTAGGCAGAGGTTTACACAGAAGTCACACCCACTTTTCACTATTTATGTTATGGGTCCCATGTAATAGGAGGTGAGCCTATTGCCATATATCGGGCACAATTCCAGACTCCGTGCTACTACTGAGATTTTTTTTTAAAAACTCAGTAATACTTTGCCCGACCCGGGAATCGAACCCGACACCCCTTGCCCGGCAGTCGCACTTGCGACCACTCGACCAACGAGGTAGTCTATTTAATTTTGAAATTATAATCCAATACCTACTTCATTAAGCTTGACCCACTCAAAACTCTGAAACTCACAAAGCAGTTCTCAAGACTCTCTTCTAAAAAAATAAATCCTAAAATTCTTAATCGAAATTTACCCAAGAACCACGGTTACTAAGCGTTTCGATTTCAAGGAATTTTCCGATATCAGATGTTTGGTGAAATAAGCTTCGAGAACTTCGTGTTGTCTTATAACTTTGAAGGATTTCGTTAAATTATTTCGCTCTCAGTACAAGGTCAGCGGAAAATGGTCGAATTAAGAGATTATTTGACTTTTGAAAACCATTATTTTTTCGTAAACCCAATTTATATTCAAGTGATATTATTTATTTATAGAAAATTCGTTTAATTTGTGCTTATTTTATAACTGGACAATAGTAGTACTGCCTCGTTGGCCGAGTGGTCGTAAGTGCGTGCGGCAAGGGGTCTCGGGTTCAATACCCGAATTGGGCAAAGGAATACTGGGTTTTAAAAAAAATTCTCAGTAGTAGCACGGAGTCTGGAATTGTGCCCGGTATATGGCAATAGGCTCACCCCCTATTACATGGGACTCCTAACATAAATAGTGAAAAGTGAGTGTTACATTGGACAGTGGCATTGAGTGCCGTAATGTGCACCTCTGCCTACCTCTTCGGGGATAGAGGGCGTGATGTTATGTTACGATGACAGTAAACGAAACTTTACATATTATTGGTGAAATGTTGTACCTACTGAAAAATAACCTTCAATCAAACATAAATATTACTTTAGAACCATACCTAAACTTGAACAATAATAACCTCAAACAAAATGTGTGAAAATTCAATCTACCTTAATCGTGGTGATTAATACTCGCATACCTTCTCCGTATGAGAAGAGGCCTTTGCGCTCAGCAGTGGGTACTTATAGCCTGATGATGATGCTGATGAAGTAAGTACTAAATAGAGTACCTAAATGCAAAACTCCATAGAACTGATAGTCTTCTCCTATGTATCCTTCAGCGGTACCAGAAGCAGGGTCTTCTACTGGAAACCCGTATGCCATGGTGATGTCAGCCAGCGGAATGCTCTCTAAAGGTGTATGGATCTTCTCATCATGATCATCGGGGTCCAAGAAGAGAGCTGAGTGACGTGTAGCTAAAGTGGACGATCCTGAAAGATTATGGTGACGTAATATTTAAGTTTCGAATCATTACAGTTTCTGTGAATATTTTCTGTCTTTTAATCAAAGTCAAAGTCAAATTAGGCCAGAATGGCACTTTTGAACGTCAACAAAAAAATAATAAGAAGTGAAGCTATTTGCTCATTCCAAGGTGTAGATTCCTATGGAGAAGAACGAGCAAGAAACTCCATAGGTTACTCTTTTTCAATCAGGTTCACAATACAATTTACTAGTTACATAGTTTTGCTGTTTGGATTGTGCGAGAACAATGTAACACTAAATTCAGCCAAAGTGATCATTGATATATATCAATGATAATTGTGTTAGATTAATTTTATTACAACACTAGCTGTGCCCACGACTTCGTACCCGTGGAAAAGTGATTCACAGCTCTTCCCTCGTAGGTGATGGCGTGATAACATGCAGCCTATATGCTGACCCGATCTGTTAGTAATATTCATGCAAAATTTAAAGTAAATCCATGTAATAGGTACTTTTTGAGTTTAGTCCATACAGACAACAATTCTAAAAACCATATTTTTAGCTTCAGTATCGCTTGTAGATCATACCCCAAGCATTCTTTTAAAAAAATATTAAATATACAGTTTTAACTCTCCTACGATTCTATTGTACGTACAGATATTAAGATAGATTTTAAGTGACTTTAGGACCAGCTATTCAGCAATATGTCGCGTGTTTAATTCCTGTACAGTGTAAACTTTAGTATCATCTATAAATGCTTAGTTATTTTGAGATTTTGGACTCGCTGCCATCGCAGCGGTAAGTCCCGTCTTTGAGGAGTGGCTTGAGAGACGCTACGGCGTCCTCACCTACCGCCTGACGCAGGTCCTCACCGGACATAGGAGTTTCGGGAGGTACCTGTGTCTGATGGGGCGGGAGGAAACGTCTGGGTGTCATCACTGCGAGGACCGCCCTGAGGACACGGTGGAACACACTGTAGCGGAATGCCCTGCGTGGGCTGAGCACCGCCGTGCCCTCAGGGAAATGATCGGCGATGGCGACACCTTGCGTCCGGGCCTAGTGCAGGCTATGATGCGGAGCGAGGGGGACTGGGATGCCGTCTCCTCCTTTTGCGAAGCAGTCATGCTAGCTAAGGAGGAGGCGGGACGCGTAAGACAGAGAAGCGCTGCCTCCTCGCAACCCAGCTATCGCGAAGGACACACCGGGCGTCGGGGATCGCGAGACGATCTCCGGCCACCGTAAGCGCGGGCCTGCGGACGGCGAGCATGGGTGGCTCCCCGTCCGATCAGAAACAGACCCGAGCGCACGGCGCGTCGCGTTCCGCGCGCGCCTCAAAGAGCCATCAGAAGTCAAAAAGTCAAAGTCAAAGTCAAAGTCAAAATCATTTATTTCAATTAGACCAGTAAGGCACTTTTGAACGTCAAAACAAAATATTTAAATACTAAATAATAAGAAAAAAAAAAAAATGTGTCAGTCTGTAAGTCAGTCCTCTAGTGAAGCTATTTGCTCGTTCCAAAGTGTAGATTCCTATGGAGAAGAACGAGCAAGAAACTCCATAGGTTACTCTTTTTCAATCATGTTCACAATACAATTTTTGGTTACATTCTTCCGTTGAGTTCAATAATGTGAGAACAATGTAATACCAATATTTGGTCAAGGAGACGGAAAAAGAAAATAACCTTGAGGACAACAAATTTAATACAGTCTGGAGCTGACCAGTCCCATTTGACAGCGCCCGTTCACGAACATGACACGTACACCAGCACCGCCCAACTCGACCATGTTATAGGGAATCGAGCGATCCACTGCCCGTGCCACTGCCAATGAGACTTTTGAGTGAGCATGACAACTCCAGGCTGACACACATGCATTCTACTAGTCTAATTTAATTTAGGTAGTTACAGGGCTCTCACATTTACAATAGTTACCTATATAAAGTTTTACAGTGTGTACATTTGAACAAAATGGCTGTATTTGACATGATTGGAACTCATTGGAACATCAATGTTTTTCGCTATCCTGTGGAGCCGGACCAGCATGCCTCCAAGCATTTTTATCCTCTATGTAATCATTAAGTTTGTAGTATGCTTTTCCGCATAACGTTTTTTTAATATATAATTTAAATTTTGACTCATTTAAATGTTGTATTTCCTCCGGAATTTTATTATAGCATTTAACACAGAATCCCATAAAGGACTTTTGTACTTTTGTCAATCTAAATAGTGGCTGACTTAGTCTATCCCTATGTCTAGTTTGATAGTGGTGTCTGTCAGACACTTTACCAAACAACTGTAGGTTCTTCCTAACATACATAATGTTTTCATAAATAAATTGACATGGAACGGTCATAATGTTGATCTCCTTAAACTTTTCTCTGAGAGATTCGCGACGACCCAGGTTGTAGATAGCTCTGACGGCGCGCTTTTGTAAGATAAAGATAGACTCAGTGTCCGCAGCGTGTCCCCACAGCAAAATGCCATACGACATGATGCTATGGAAGTAACTGAAGTACACTAGTCTTGCCGTGTCTATGTCGGTTAACTGTCGGATCTTCCAGACAGCATAAGCTGCAGAGCTTAATCGTCCCGCTAGAGATGTAATATGAGGACCCCATTGCAATTTGTCATCTACAGTAATTCCCAGAAATGTAGTCTCTTTTACAAATTCTAATTTCCGACTGTTTAATAATATGTCACATTCCTTACTTCCAACATTTGGCAGAACAAATCTAATACATTTCGTTTTCTTATCGTTTAGCACTAAGTTATTTATTGTAAACCAATGTTGAACCTTCATCAGAGCATTATTTACGTCGTCATAATTATTTTTATTATTATTTAAAAATAATTATGACGACGACAGATCAGACCACCACAGATGGGGCCCAATAGGGCCGATGCCGATTCGGAGTCGCGGAGAACCTAACGGGTAACCGGGGCTCCGGCTCGACGTACAGGAGAAGGAACGGGGTGGTTTTTAGACAGTAAAAGTCTGACACTTCCTCCCGCCTCACCCAGGCGGGAGCAGTAATTCGATGATTTTCCCCGCTTAAAAAAAAAGGCGTGTTGTTTAATGTAATGTATGGAAGTGCATGGGAGTAAGTATAATCAAGGCATAATACACCGGTTCGGACAATAACATGTCCCATAATAATTTTGTTGATAAAATCCTAAACAGTTTGTTTATGTTTTAAAGATGTGTGAGGCTTTAGATGACTGCCTATGTCTCAGTATATTATGTCCAAAAAAGATAATAAGATCCTTTTACGTATTTAAACCAGATAAAGCTCTTTTCTTACACAAATACACAGAAGCTAATAAATATTTAGGTACTCACCAATCGGCTGCAACTTCAAACACAGCAGATACACCTCCCGACCAAACTTCGCTTCGAGAAGTTGATGCCCATAGGCACTGCAGATGATATGATGCTGTATAGTAATGTCCACGCCAGTCACACTGCTCAATAGACACGCACAGACCACAAGCACGAAGGCCATGGCACAATTTTTGAATTTCACCAGGCCATTTCCAAAATTTGTGTACTATTCTAATGGCATGTTAATGTCAACGTTTTTGACAGGAGATTAGCTTTTTCTTGCTTCATGAAACCTGTGAGAAAAGAGGTTTTTCTTGTGAAGGTTGGTAATGGTAGGTTGGAAACTTTTTTAGGCTATTGGGAGATGGGAGTGTGGATTTTTTCCTTTCTCGATCTTGATCGAGCGATCGAGAGTTGAGAGAGTTGCCGGGTCCTAGACGTCCTAGTTATTTTTAGTCCTATACTCATATAGATATAAATATTATATAATGAGAATGTTCTCATTTTTGATAAGCAATGTACTTCTTACCTTCTATGAAGCGCCTATAAAGATATATTTTTACTAAATTTTCTCGTCATCAGCCGGATTATGTCACCAAAATTTAAGAGCACAATGCAATCCGTTTTGGACTGTACGCATTTTAGGACACAGCTGGGTTTGTTATATTTGAAGTCCAGTTCAATAGCAAGCTTACGACCATAAAACCATCTACTTAAGTACCTAGTCCTTAAACATATTTTATATCATATAATTAATATTTTCACTCCGTACTCCTGTCATAACCTGTAATGACCTAATAAGCATGCGCCATCGTATTATTCAATCGCTCTTACACGGCGACGCGACTGATTCGTACGTATAATTTGAATAATAAATTGCATTCTCTTTAAATAAACGTGTCTCTTACTATATTAGTGCATGTGCGAACTGTTTGTCTGTTTGTTGTATTTTATAGGTACCTTAAACATCACACGAACGCATTACAGATTGCGTTTTAATACAAAGTTAGCTCAAAATTTAAAAATATAATAATATGACTGCACGGTTGGTGCGGTGGCTGGGCAACCGGCTGCCGTGCAACGTGTCGCGGGTTCGATTCCCGCACGGAACAACACTTTGTGTGGTCCACAAAGTGTTGTTTCGGGTCTGGGTGTCATGTGTATGTGAACTTGTATGTTTGTAAACGCACCCACGACACAGGAGAAAATCCTAGTGTGGGTGAACGATTTAAAAAAAAAAAAATTAATAATAAGTAGGTCATTTAGAACTTACTACCAACGCAAGATATTAAATTAGTCAAGAGCCAAAAGAGCTCCAAATCCTACCCCACTTTCAAAACCATCAGTCACTCGTATCTGTTGTTGGGTATGCTGCTCCTAATTATCGGCCCCGACATGGCTTGAAACTGGTCGAGTTACTCGACAATGGCACGAGTAAGTAAACCGTAATGTTGGTGTTGGTTTAATGTTTATGCAGATTTCCTGTTAATACCACGTAGTGTACCTATCTACTTTACACTTGATTAGCTTTCAGAGTTATTTACAGATGATTCCGTCAATAAATTGATTAATAATTAATCATACCTTCAATAACTCACGTGTATTGACCATTCTGTTGTGTATCACAAATCAATGTTATAGGAACCTATCTATGTTACACGATGTACCTATGTAGAACAACAATAATTGTTATTAATTAATAATTACTATTCATTAGTTGAATTGGAATCAGCCAGTAATAGTTCAACAATGTCAATGATAAAACATGGACCTCCTACTACCGAAATTAATTAAACGATCTCAATCACAAATCTGCGGTTTAAGATTAATAAGGTCGATAGTATCAGAAGATTCTAGGTTCGAGCCCTGGCAGGATGTCGCCATGCGGCCATGTAAGGTCGAAGGTATTAACGGAGAGAAATGATAGACTCGGATGCCCATATAATACTGTCCTTTATTGATTGATACATTGTTTATACACAACCGAAACTTCATACAGCCTACAATTTTTTTCTCACCTTTAAACTTTCTCTGAACTTCCATGAACATTTCAAGACCAAAATTAGCCAAATCGGTTCAGTCGTTCTCGAGTTTTACCGAGACTAACGAACGGAAACTCATTTTTATCTATTAGATTATTGATTACACACTTACACAGGTACAAAATACATTGAATTGGTATGATGACAGGGTATGAAAATTAAAAATATAATTAGCCCGTAAGGTTAGGTAATGAAAAAATATTAGACACGTATTTTGTTATTCTGTCGTATAATAAAACCATACTTAGTTATAAAGAATCTAAGTTTAGGAGTGGGGGCTAAAACGTCATTTCTACGTATAAAATGTACATAGAAGTGACGTCACACGACATTTTAAATCAATATATCGTCGAAAGTATTCGTTTCTGTAAGAAAATAAAAAAATACGTGTCTAATGATTTAAAATAATCTACCAGACGGACATTAAGATAAAAATTAGGCATCTACCCTATTATTAGGTACTACATATATGTATAATACACAATTTTTAACAATATCCTTCTTGCTGTCACTACATAGTATAAACCAAAGTCGCTATCCGCCGTATAGCTATATATATGCTTAGAGCTTTAAAACTACGCAACAGATTTTGATGAGGTTTTTTTAATAGTTAGGAGTGATTCTTAAAGGAAGGTTTATATGACGTAGAATACATGCGAAGCCGGGGTGGGTCGCTAGTTTTATATAATTATTTTAAAACAAGCAAACCAACGTCTAACTCTAGTCATAATGTTTAGAAGTGTAAGCAAACTAAATATAAATTAATTAGCTCACGTAAAGCTTTGTAAGACAGCTTACGGCGAAGTGATGTCGTGTGACAATCATTAGGACCACGACTCACTAATGACAAGAAGTACCTCGGATATAAGGAACTGATAGACGTGTAGACATGGCCTACAATTAACTTTTATTATTGGAAACAAGTATCAGCTCACACATAGGACTCATTTAATTTTTAGTCAAATTTTCGTGGTGCCTGGCGACTGGCCTTCTCCCAGTTGTACAGTCTCTTTTTGTACCTTTAGGCTTAATTCATTCTGTGTCCTGCAGTAATTCACCGATAGAAGTGGAAACTATCGTTTTTTTCTTTTCCTCTTATAGTATCTTCTGATTCACTTCGTTGCGGGAACCAAGACAGTTACTCATGTCCCTGAGACGCGCCTGACTTCAGTGTTCCGGTGTTTTCATGGTTGTATCTAATGTAGATCAGGATCTACAGGCTTACAGGAATTGTAGCGGTTTTGGAAGGTTGTGGCGGGGTTGTCCCATAAAAAAATCTTTTTTACCCCAAACTAATTTTAAAGTTGAAACAATTATTTGGTCCAAAAATTGTTGAATTTCAGCTTCAGATGTACAGATGTGTGCATCTTCATCGTTCACGTACCACAGTATGTAAACGTGTAAATGCACCCACGGCACAAAAGGAAATCCTAATGCCGATCACATATAAAAACTGAACTTCCCTACCCTGAAATTTGCTGCCACCTCTGCGAACACTAAATAGGTAATGAGGAGAGTACAATATCCCTCAATATGGTTGCCAGAACACCACAAAGGCTTATCGCCTTATCTATCTACAGCTGCCTAAGATCTGTGGAACCTCTACATACACATTCTAAAGTTAATAGATTCCTGGAACGGAAATACTTAGGTATCAACTAAAGTACTAAGAATCCTTTTTTTAGAATCCCTAGCCTAGTGACTAGGTTTTAACACCTCTCACTTCTAACGGTATGGGGGAATAGGATAGATAAGATACTGGGTGCGTCGTTCGTTAGGTGAGTCTTAGGTTCGATTCTTTTTTTTTTTTTTTGGTTTAAATAGTTTATTCTCAAAAAGACAAAGGAAGCCACTTACATGAGAATATAAGCTAACATAAAGTAAATAAACTAAATAAGGTCACCGATACAATCAATCAAAATACGTTACAATAAAATTAATGATACATGCTTAATATAAAGAACAAAATTAACAATAAATAGGTATAGTGCCATTTTACCCGTTCAACGATTTCGATTCTCGAGTCGGGTAATGAATTCTTGGGATGAAAAATTATCATTTTTGTATTTAACAGGTGTTGCTAATGATTTGCCCAGCAGTGCTCAGATTAATGCTCTAGGTACCTTCTCTGTGTGAGAAGAGGCTTTACTTAGCAGTGGGCACTTATAGGCTAGTGATGATGAGGTGTTGCTAATGCTAATATAGTGTCGAGGTCCTGTTTGTTAAATTAGTTTAGTTCTGTGTCGGGTACCTACGTTTACAAGCATACAAATCATTCTTGGATTCGGATATACTAGACAATTATTCGAATTTTGATCATCCAGTGTTATTATATGGAGACCAAAATATGCGAAATGTTGCACAGCAGCCAGTTGCCGAGTCACTACACCAACCGACCAATCAAAGCACTTTAAAGATTAAGAAAATCGATGGAAAAGCTAATAGATAGGATGCACCACAAAGATAAAAACAAATAAATTCCAATTCACTTAGATTAATCCAATTTGCTCTCAATAAAAGTACCTACCACATTTTCGTTTTATCACCAAAAAACATAAATCTATGATAAAAGTACCGTTGGCACTTTGGTACCGCTAGCTAGGTGGTGCCATCTGTGGTAAGTTATGTGTAATCTCAGTTGTAATTTATCGGCGCCAAGCATGAATGCCGAGGCGCCTGCGCCGCGTTTTTGCACGCGATGCAGTCTATTTTTAACTGGTAACACTTTACTATAATTAGAAAAAGGTTGTGTCTCACGCTTTAGTTTTGTTGGGATGCTCAGGATTCTAAGTAGGTAATGTTAATGGCATAGGGCTACTGGCTTAAGGAAAGTTTCTTACGCATCTAGATATAAGTAGATATTAAAATAGTTTGCAGGTACGTGGCATGGATTTGTTTAAGATTGTATTTTAATAGTTGCACCTTATATGTTAGTGGAAGGGAATCCTTAGACTTTAGAGCATTTTTTGTAATTTGTTATGTGGTATTATACCATGTTATTTATTTCATATTCGTTCGGCGGCAAAATCACTTGCCATAGAAGTATTTTCTATGTAAGTGTAAAGCAAAAGCAAAAAAGTAAGACTTCATTTTTTTAGTAGTCTATGATTATTTTTTTATTCGCATATGAGAAACTAGATGCCAATCTTTAGGCATTATTCGCATCGCACGTGCCGCCTACCGAGAATTATCTCTTCAATAATCAAAAGGCGTGATGTTTTGATTATATCCTATGTATGAGTTTGTATGTAGGTACTTTGGAAGTTTACTTTCTGCAATGGTTCACCAGTTATTATTTGTTTTAAACATTTTATTTCTTTGTAAAACTATTGTATTACCGAGACAGAAACATTTTTCATCGATACGAAAAGGAAATTTTCCCGGTGTATATCACATTGGTATAGATTATAGATATACCAATGTACCTAGGTAGCTAGATAGCCACCTATCTAGTATAACTAAATATATAAAACTAATGTATTTAGTATAGTTAGTATAACTAAATATATATATAAAAAAATAAACTAAATAGTATTAAAATAAAAAAAGATAACATGTATTGTTGTGGAGTACAAATATACAAATTGACATATAAATCAGACAGACTCAGGACAACATTTTGAGTCGAATACGCACCACGTTGCTCAGCAGCCGGTAACCTGCAGATCTTTGCATAACATAATAACATAACATCACGCCTTTTATCCTCGAAGGGGTAGTAGACAGAGGTGCACATGATACCACTGTACAATGTAACACCCACTGTTCACTATTTATGTTATGAGTCCCATGTAACAGGGGGTGAGCCTATTGCCATATACCGGGCACAGTTCCAGGCTCCGTGGTACTACTGGGAAATTTTAAAAAAACCCAGTAATACTTTGCCCGACCCGGGAATCGAACCCGAGACCCCTTGCCCAGCAGTCGCAATTGCGACCACTCGGCCAACGAGGCAATCACAGACCTTTGCATGCCTATCAATTTTATATGTTTACATAATCGTACGTGAAAAATAGCAAAATATAATAACTATTTCACATAGATAAATTAGGATATCAGTTTGTACGGTCAAGATTCGATATCTATGCAAAGATGTTTTTAATAAACCACACGTAGGTCCCTAATAGGGATGCTGACTAGTGATGTAACGAATATTCGCATTCGCATTCGCGAATATTCGCAATTTTTTGCATATTCGCATTCGCATTCGCATTCGCAAAATGTTTTGCGAATATGTACTTCTTAGAAAAAAACTATTTTTAAAATAATGGTAGGCTAAAAAAATCAAAATCCATTCGTTTATAACCTATTTATTGCAAGTAAACCTCTTAATCACATTGTCAGTCTTTACTTTATCATTTGGTATTATTTATTTACTTTGGGCAATGAAACTTTAGATATAGGTAGTTAATATAATAGTTTCATAAGAAATAAACATAAATAAACTCTTTAAAGAAACAAAAACTAAACTAGAAACAAAATTAGAAACTTTTATCCAACTTAACATATTTTTTACGTTTAGATAATCATCATCTGTAATAAACAAAATAATGTAATACTTATTGAAACAAAAACTAATTATTCTTCCACAATAAACTTTAAATATACTCTAAATAATTCAAACTAAAAATATTTGATGAGTTCGTATCCACTCGGCAAATCTCGGAACAAAATAGACCCTGCGTTCCGATACGCGCTGAAAACGGCGACAAGTATTGGCTAGTCTGATTCGAAATGCGCCTATAACGGAACGTACCTCGTTCAGTACGAGACTGCCACCAAACCATACAAATGGCGCCAAATTTGAACACAAACTGAATATTCGCATCCGCATTCGCATTCGCGAATGTCGATATCAGATATTCGCATTGAAACAAAAACTAATTATTCTTCCACAATAAACTTTAAATATACTCTAAATAATTCAAACTAATAAACCATACAAATGGCGCCAAATTTGAACACAAACTGAATATTCGCATCCGCATTCGCATTCGCGAATGTCGATATCAGATATTCGCATTCGCATTCGCATTCGCGAATGTTCAAAAACACACATTCGTTACATCACTAATGCTGACTCAGTAAAAAATTGATTGTCGCAATAATAGATAAATATCTAAAAATACCTAACTGTAGAGGTAGATAGGTTCTCTTATTACCTACCTAATTGATTTCATTTTAACTTTTGCTTTGTATAAGTAATGTTATATAAGTAATGATATTTGATAACTAGCTGTGCCCACGACTTCGTCCGCGTGGAATAGTGATGCACAGGTCCACCCCCGAGGGTGATAGCGTGATAATAATATATAGCCTATATATTAACCCGACATGTTAGTAATATTCATGCACAATTTGAAGTAAGCCCATGCAGCACTTTTTGAGTTTAGCCCGGACATACATACAGACAAACAGACAAAAATTGTATATACCATTTTTTTGGCTTCGATATCGATTGTACATAGATCACGCCTCAACCATACATACATACAAACCTTCCTTAAGAATCACTCTATCTATTAAAAAAAAACCGCATCAAAATCCGTTGCGTAGTTTTAAACTGTCAAATACCAAGCGGTCACCGGTGACCGCAACCTATTGTTCTATAATTGTGTCTATAATGACGGTACTCAACGAGTTAAAGATCTAAGCATACATACGGACATACAGCGAAAGCGACTTTGTTTTATACTATGTATTGATGTACATTTTTCACTTTCCTATGTATATAGTTAGGTAGGTAGATAGGTACTTAAACAAGTTGTGACGTCAATAGCAAGTAGCAATCTCATCAATTTCACAGAGCATAGACAGGTATGTTAATGACTTTGGCGTTTAAAAAAAAAGTAGGAACGTAACGCTGAAATACTAAAACACCACTCAATTATTTTAAAGTCGCGTCGAAAATCATCCCTTTTTGTTCATACAAAAGTAGTCTCTAAACATTGGACTATAATGTAGCTAGTGGAGAGCGATCACCGGTGACCACAAGGGATATATTTCTGTCACTACAAATTCTTAGTAAAATGACAGAGACGGCACGATATATAAGTAGTTTATCATAAATTTAGTACCCTTTTTATATTCCAACGTCAGTAATTGAATTTGACTAAAAATTGTCTTCATTTTCAGTGCATTTCCAATTCCCATGATGACGAAAAATAGTAGGGAAAGATAATTTAATAAAATATGATTTTCTACTAATTGGGTAGGTACTATCTTTAATCAAAAATAAATTCTTTGGACTGTACAATACAAAAAAAAATATATTAAAAAATAATCACACTTTCACATGTATGCTGTTAACGCTAAAAAAACGTGACGTCACAATACACAATCTCGTACAAAATTCATAGAAAACTGTCATACCTATTTGACATTTCGAAAAAAGTATTGAATTTGACTAGTTGGTAAGTATCCAATCAAAATCCCGCTCCCAATCAGTTTCAACATCCTTTTAACTCACTTTTCCCACAAATTAATTAATTGTTTATAGAAATTTTTGAATGAAAATGAGATCAAAATAATATGACGGTGTTCAATGATGTCAATGACTGATATATACATATCTGTCTGTATTGTGTATGTCCCCCAACTATTTTTACACAACTGTATTTAAACAATAAAATAGTTGATAATGTTTAAGTTTACTAACCCAATTGTTTTGTTCTTTCAGCTACTAACAACTAAAAACTATCGCAAATCATCACTCGACACTGGCAGTATAGTCGACAATGCACCGGTCGGTTGCCAAAGGAGAAAAAAAAAGTATCCAATTCAATAAAGTAAAAGTGCAAGGCGTTTTCGAGACTCGAGTCTTACATGATTAAGTACTTTATTTGAACTTTGTTTTTGACAGATTCACAGAAATAGATAGAAAATAGTATAATCCGCTAAAAATATATTTGTTTCTTAATATCGATATATCTAGGTTTCCTAAGGTTACTCACTTACCAATTTGAAGTTGATAGAATCTCACAAATTAAATTGGGGAAAACGATGACACGATTAGACAATAAGAGTACTTAATCCAAGAATACTAGTATAGACCCAGTAGGGATTTATTTGTTGTTTACAATAACGTCAATGTGCAGTGGATGTTAACAATAAGTATTATTTGGATTGTATTTGTATGACTGTATTCATATTACGAACATTCCGCACGTCCGCACATTCCATCAAATTGGGTTTATTGGGTCCTTAGTCGACTTCTGAATCTTAGGAAGAGCTACATAACATTGGCAGTTCATTGTTTGACTATGACCCTATTAGAGTACAATATTAGGTACACTCTTTTTATTAAAAAAGAAACGTTGCTCCCCAAGTCCCCACAATAGGATTTTCTCCGGTGTCGTAGGTACATTTACAACCATACGATTTCATATACACCATCGGGTGATGGTGTTCAAGTTCAGAATTGTTCCATGCCGGAATCGTTCCCGTGACGCACACATGTCGTACACCACAGCAGCCAGTTGCCCAACCAGTGCGCCCTGTACTCGAACTCTCATTACCTAATTTAATTTTCAGCTTTATTTTTTCGAATTAATTATGATGTCACAAGTTGAAATCGCATACAACATTAAAAAAAGCATAGGTCTACATCTAAAAAATGTATTGAATTTGAATTGTTGAAATGTGTATTGTTAATTTGATCATATTTCATGCTCTATCTATTCTCCCCGTTTGACAGCATCGAGCTTAATGTAGAATAGCTTAACAAGTATGCCTAGCTAGTTAAGATTACAGTTTTAAACAAATAACATCGTTCGTCGAACAGAGCGGGTCTTGGGCGCCATCCGCCATTCGGCTTCTGTGACGCGCCGCGTAAGGTTGCGCGCGCTTTTCAATTTTTAATCTGTGCATTTTCGTAAGTCATAGTGTAAAGTTAAAATATTTTTTAAAATGTTGAAGTACACTATGAAGAAATATTGTGCGGAGGGGAGCAAATTCAACCAAATTATTATTGCGTGCTTGAGTAAGTTTTATTTTTTAATATTAATCGTTCTTTTTATTTAAATACTAGGACTTTGCTTGTTATAATTATGTCACCAACACTACAAGTATTAATTTTTCGATACTTTGATATAATAAATTATAATACATTCCTTTATTTCTTTATATTTCGAAAAGAATTAGTATTATATTCAAGTTAATTGAATAAATAAATATATACCACTTAAAATATAACTAAATAGACACTAAAATATTTTTCTATATTCGATTAGTACTTACAATATTTTTAAATATTTGATTTAAAAAAATAATTTAAAAATATAAAAAGCCATTATTATGATTACTATCTTGTGTAACTTAAATCGGTCGAAGAGTTTTCTAATTTTTGTTAACCAAGGCCTTAAGGTTTTATGATGCCTTTTTTTATTTTTTTGTACTTAGAGTTGAGCTCGTACACATGGCCACACATCAATCTATACAAAACCAGTGTATCCTGGTGTCGCGTCGCATCATCTTTCCGCACATTTAACGTTCAGTTTATACTGGTTATGTAAAGCTCGATGTGTAGCCGTGTGTACATAAGACACCTATTTCAATAATTTTTAATACTTTTATGCACCTTAACAAGACGTAACTTTTAAATAAGTATTTAGTAGGTATTTTTAAAGTATTTTATGACCTGGGATATTACTTATACCTAACTTAACGAGTACCTAAGTCACTCCTTATTTTTAAGTTTGCCTAAATTGCATATTTTTTTATTTTGACATAGGAGATAGGACAAAAGCTCTTTATTCCGATATTATGGATTTCAAACTAGCGTGTACCGAATAATATGACACATCAAGTAAAACGTGAAAAAAATACGATCGAGTTGAGAACCTCGGCTTAAGTTGCAAGGTACTTTGATACGTTGCCTGGCGGTTGGGGGTCCACTATAGGCTAGTCCTTCATTCATCTATTAGAGAATTAGCGAACAGTGGGTGTAGCATGTTAATTTTAATCCATGGTATGCTGGAACGACGAACGAAATATATTTATTTATTTATTTAGAAAATGTACATTAATAACACTATATACGCGATACACAACGTGTTTTATATTAATAAGATAAGTGGTTAATAAATACCTTTGTCTCACTAGATATATATACATATATATTTTGGATAATAATGTCAATATAAAATGACCTGACTTTGACTTTCCTAATAAGAGGTTAATGAGATAATCTATTACGTTTGTTTACATAATTTAAAAAATATAATAGGTAGTATACCTACTTCACCTAAGTAAGTATATTGTCTACGACCTGCCCCGGCTTCGCACGGGTGCAATATGCATGTATTATACATAATTATAAACTTTCCTTACGAATCACTATATATATCTATTAAAAAAACCGCATTAAAATCCGTTGCGTAGTTTTAATGATCTAAGCATACATAGGGACAGACAGACGGCAGATAGCGACTATTTTTTATACTATCTAGTGAAATAGTATATACAGGTCATTGCAGGTACTTATATTAAAATGAGTTAGACCAATGAATTATTGTGAATGGATAATTCAGTTTAGTCGTGGTGGCCCGGAGGTTTAAGACACCCAGCTTTCATGCATGAGGTTGCGGGTTCGAAACCTACAAATAGCAAATACCGATGTGACTTTTTCCGAGTTATATATAGGTACTTTGTGTACTTTCTAAGATTATCTAGACACCATTGACAAACGGTGAAGGAAATCATCATGAGGAAACCTGGGCTTATAATTTCTAATTATACGTTTGGTATCGCCAACTAATATTGAACAAGCATGGTGATTATTGAATGTTCAAACCTTCTCCGTGTGCCGTGTGAGAAGAGGCTTTGCCCAGCAGTGGACATTTATAGGCTATTGGTGATGATGAATTAAGTAAAATTATTGCCGATCAAACGACATTCAATTCGATTCTGGAGTCACATATATGACTTTAGAGAACATCATGTCGAGACAAGAGCGTGGTGGATTTATACAGTGTCCAGTAAATAGGGCAACATACTGTATAGATTGATAGCTGGGACCAATACCTACCTAAGCAGCCCAATGTATACATTCGGCACGGTTGGTGCGGTGGCTGGGCAATCGGCAGCCGCGCAATGTGTCGCGGTTCGATTCACGCACGGAGCAACTCTTTGTGTGATCCACAAATTGTTGTTTCGGGTCTGAGTGTCGTGTGTATGTGAACTTGTATGTTTGTAAACGCAGTCACGACACAGGAAAAAAATATAGAGTGCGGCAACGTTTTTTTAAAAAAAGAAAAGGCATGTACGCGCATCTTCTTTCAGCATATAGGTATCTAGGTGAAAAAAAAAAATATTAATAATTTTTGTATACCAAATTATTCGTGGAACTATTTGCTGGACACCCTGAATATGAACGACAATAGGTTCATTCACAGTTACACGGGAAAAGTAATAGTAACAATTACTACGTATACACACACAGCTCACCCCCTCGGAGAATAAAAGGCGTAATGTTATGCGAACGTGAAAATGTTTTATAAACACAAACCCGCGGCCCACAGGGAAAATTTAATTCGTCCATAACTATTGTTGACTATTTCATGAAGACATGAAGATCAGTAGAAAATTATCAGTTTCTTCTCTGTTTTGCTTCACCGTTTGTCAATGGTGTCTAAATAATCTTAGAAAGTACATGTAACTCGGAAAAAGTCACATAGGTATTTGCCGTTGGTAGGTTTGGAACTCGCACTCTCACATGTGAAGCGTCTTAAACCTCAGGACCACCACGACATCCACTAAAATCACGGATGTACATTTTCGCCAGATGAATGAAAGAGGTTTCATTAAGACATGCTTTATTCAAAACTACACTTTTTTTTTCTAAACGAGCAGACGGATCACCTGATGGTAAGCAATCGGCGTCGCCCATGGACACCTGGAACACCAGAGGCGTTAAAAGTACCTACGTTACCGGCCTTTTGGGGATTAGGAATTTGAGGATCGTTGGGGATTCAGGGATTGGGGAGATTGGGGAAGGGGAGGGTAATTGGGTCTCCTGTAACCTCACTCACACAACGAAACACAACGCAAGCGTTGTTTCACGTCAGTTTTCGGTGAGGCCGTGGTATCACTCCGGTATACACTGAACTTTAAACTCTTGCATTTAGCTCCAACTTAGTTAGAACTCTGGGCCGTTTTTTCAATAGTCAAGTTAAGCCATCAGTTAGCACTTATCCAACAGTTAACGTCATTTTCAATTTTTCTAAAACCAGTTAGGCATTATCCAATAGTTAAACTCCCTAACTGACTGTTATTAGGGCCGATATTTCCAATGCCAGTTAAATTTTTTCAGAGGAATAGGTTTGAATATTTGACAATACTTCCATACTAAGAACTGTCGACTGTCAATTTTATTCCACAGTTAAAAGAAATCGGCCCTTAACTTGTTTACAAACTATGTGTTTGTCAACATAGCAACTTAATAACTAATCTAATCTTACATACTTAGTAATTACACGCGCTTACCTAAAAATGTAATCTTACTGTTACAAGAACGTCAACAAAGAAATCTCAAACAATTGAACCATACGCGTAACGCATGCGTAATTAGTGAGGTTGCAGGCGTACCTACTCACAGTGCAGAGTATAGTAGTATTGTACACAACATATCATCTATTAATGTTATAGATGCGAGAGTTGGTCTGTTTCTCCTTCATGTCAACACGGCTGAAGGGATCGGGATAGAATTTGGATTAGGGTATTATGGTCTGGAATATAACATAACATAGGCTACTTAGGGGTCATCCATAAATTACGTACGATTTTCATGATTTTTACCCTCCCCCCGTCCTTGTCACAGCTAGACACATTTGTGAGACCCCCCCTCTACCGTAACGACACATTTTGCAGAATTACGTATGTATAAAAATTATTAATTGAAAACAGCGGTTCCGAAATCAGTTTTATTTCGATTTAAGTTACTTTAAAAACCTATTAATACCAAATCAAACAAAATAAAAAACATTAATACAATTATATTTCGTGTTTTATAATAGTTTTTGAAATGTGACATTACAAAGTTTAGAACCTTTCCTCCCCCTTGTCACACAATGTCACACTTCGTCGAACCCCTCCCTACCCCTTAACATGTGACGTTTATGGACAGTCCCTTAGGTATATCGCTTGGAACGCGAGCGATGCCACCGGTAGAAGCTAGTTTTGTATATCTTATTATAGTTCATAATCCACAGCCTGCGATGGTCCATTACAGGTTCTGTCTTTACCATAAGGGACAAGGCTACCCCGGCTACCCCGCTACGTGTAGCGGGTTCGATTCTCGCACGGAGCAAATGCTTGTGTGATCTATTTATTGTGGTTTCGGGTCTGGGCGTCATATGTATGTTAACACCCACGACACATGAGAAAATCCTAGCGTAGTGCAACGTAAAAAAAAGAAACATTTCACAAGGGCCCCGAATTATTTTGTGCCCAAGGGCCCAGTTTATTACTACATTATTGGGTTTCCTGTGCATACATAAGAAAATTAGCTTTAATCTCCAACTGACAGGTGAGTTGGAGATCGTAACATTCAATTCTTACTAACAATTTTATTACCTAACGTTCAGGTTTTAGTATTGTAATCAATACCTCACGACAGCATATGCATCCCCATCATATAGATGGTTGGCAGGCCACAACTGCGCTTCTGACGTAGCTTCCTGCCTCGCACAGCAAAATTGTGGAATGATCTGTCGTCGGCGGCATTTCCGAACCGATACGACCTTCAAACCTTTAAGAAAAGAGCGTATTCCTTTTTAAAAGGCTGTCAACGCACTTGTGACTCCTCTGGTGTTGCGGGTGTCCATTGGCGGCGCTAATCGCTTACCATCAGGTGATCCGTCTGCTCGTTTGCCTCCTATTCCATAAAAAAAAAATAAACAGAGGCCTGTCAATCTTTTTGAAAAAAATGTAGTGATCAGGATATCTTCACACAGATTTGTCTATTAGCGTAAGACTGATTAA